ACACCTAAAAAAAATATAGTGTTCTCTCCAATTTTATGTTCATCCTTTCAATTCACGATGAACCAACAAACAATCTTCTTGCATTCATTTTAAAGAAGGAAAAGAAAACATACTAACAAAATTTAAATGTCACACTACTACAACAATAACTTAAGAAACCGAGCAAAATTGACCAAAGAGACCTGAAAAGTCAAGGTGCCAAGGTAGAAAAAAGTAATTAGGCACCGGTTCAATTAAAACGGCTTAAAGGCATCGGTTTTGAACTAATATATTTTTCCTGGTGTCGGTTTAATGAAAAAAATTACAAGTAGAAGCAACAATATCATCCAACTACAACAACATTGGCAATCCCTAGATAATCTAAAACACCTTGCTCTCTCCAACCTTCTTCAATTTCTTCCAACATGCGCTTTCTCCTTTATGAGATAATTTCATTATAAGGTCCCATTCACTTCACCTTATTTTTGCTGAACTGAAATTATTTTTAATGAATTGAAATAATTTTTGCTGAACTTAAATTATATTTACTGAATTGAAATTAATTTTACTGAACTTGAATTATTTTTGCTGAATTGAAATTATATTTTTTTTTACTAATTTTCTGTTATATTTCTTCTTTAAAGTTAGTGAATTTTACTGAACTAAACTTATTTTTACTGAACAGAAATTATTTTTACTTAATATTATTTTTGTAAGGTGAAGTGAACAAGGCCTAAGTCCAAAATTTAGTCACTACAGTTTCAGAAATAGCATATTTACATATACTAAATCATTTTACATTAGAATAAGATATGTGTTATGTTAATCTATCAAAGGACATAACCGTTACTAAAGAAACTTAATTTCACATTAATATTATTACTGCTAGTATAAATGTCGAAGTAGGAATCATGTTTACTTTTGTAAAGAAAAATGTTAGTGAAGTGTTATGTAGACTTGCAAATTACATATTTATTGTTAATCCATCCCTGGTAGTCTAGTATTAGTGGGAGAAAAAAAAAAGCTTCAGATCTCTTTCTTACAAAGATGCAATGGTACAAATCGTAACTTTTACAAAGATGCAGATATGAATGAAGAACTTTCAACTTTAAAATACAACATATTAGTAGAGAGTACGTATTGACGTACCCAAGTAAACAATAGAGAAAGATTTCCATGAACATGTTAAGTCATCTTTGGCCTTGTTTTCCTGCACCAAGGGTACATACGTACTCAAAATAGTTACAATGCTCAGAATTTAAAGCAACTTTTGTGTGTGGAAGGCCGCACCGTGTGGCTAGCTAACACATGAGTAACCCTTGATCAGGTAACCCCTGACCAACTGAGTAATCCCAGACCATGTAACCACTGATTGACCGAGTAACCCTTGACCGACCGAGTAATCCTTGACCATGTAACCGCTGATTGACCGAGTAACCCCTGACCGAGTGAGTCAGCCACATATGAAAGTTTGTACTGAATTTATGAAATAATAACAACTGAGGGTTTAAATCATTTTAGATTTCCCCCTTTTTTTTGTCCTTTTTATACATATTATAAATTCAGTCTTGGATTTCAACCATCAACATAAGCTTTTTTGGTTAATTTTTTCTTTTAACATGTTAGAGTCAACATTCAACCATCAACATAAGCTTTTTTGGTTGATTTTTTTAATAACATGTTAGAGTCAACATGACAAGAAGGTCACAGGTTCAAATCTCATCCACCCCTACTTTTAAGTGAAATTTATTTCGCATAAGGTATGGAAAGGCCCTAGTTGCATCTACATTTTAAGCCTAATGGGCGCTCATTTGAAAAGGCATGATAGTGTATATAAATCAATCTTTTTTAACCATGAGGTTAAAGTTTCGATTGATTTGGTCCTTTAACACTTCTTTCTCTATGTTGTGTTTGTTTAAAAAATAATTGTTCACCTTTTTTCAATGCCTTGTTGCTTCCATCATGTTGTAGTTTTTATAGGGCTTTACGCTAGTGCTATTGACATCTGTAGGGACTTTATTGCCTTATTAGCCAAAGAGGTCCATATAAGCAACTAGATCAAACTTGTGGCTAAAGCAATGGGAAAATTGCTTTAATTTTGAAAGCAAGCTGAATATGACAATTTGTGGCTTCATATTGAATGGTAGAACTACTAAACTAGAGGAAGAAACTAATAGACTTCATGAAAAGTTCATTAAAACGTTGTTCATTTGTCTGTCCCTAATTGTAGGATGAGTTAAAAGGCCTTTTTCTCCATAAATAATGCATATAGAAAAAGCCCATGATGATGGTAGAGTATTGTTTCATGATGGGAGTGAATTTGCCACCTTCATTAAGTTGAACAAATATTAAGAGACAATCACAAATATTAATAATAACCACAATGATTATAAGTAGAGAAAGAAAATCTTAATCAAATTCAAAATTGGGGAAGAAGATTCTTGGTTTACATCCAACATCACCCTATTTATACAGTACATAACCCCCTACATATGTCCATAGTTAGCCCTTAGATTACAAGGAATGGCTGAAATTGAAGGATAAAAACCAAAGAGGATTGAAGCTTAAAGCTGCCCATCGATTAGGGGTGCTGAAGCTGGCGATCTAACAATCTGAACGAACTCAACTTCAATTGCCCATAACTTTTTTGTCTCTCGCGCAAATTAGGCAAATGATGACCTCTCATTGTAAAGCTCTTGGACAATAATTTCATCTTCTATTTTAGACACTTTAAATAACCTTATAATGAAGAAAATACTGCTGTTATTTTAGTACTGCATTTTGATCAAGAACTAGACTTTATTTCTTTCACCCATGTTTCTTTGTTTCCAACTCCAACCATGAATGTAATCTTAAGACATAAGGATCATCATTATTAGGCAGAGCCACATGATAAATGTTATACTCATCTAAATAGTTGTTTAGAGCCTAATTAAAATGTCACCAATCAGATCATATGAGTATAATCCATAGATTTCAAAGATGCTCAGCTCCCGCATCACAAAGGATACTACCATTTCATCATGGTAACGATCTACGACCTTACAACATAAGAAAATATCACACTTTATTAATCTAAAACCTTTAAAAGTGCAATTCGCTTAGGAATAGTAAAAAGTGGCACTATCACTACAAGAAAAATACCTTTTTGCATCGATTATTTTAACATTTCGTATCGATTGTAATTGCTACAAAAAAAATCCCAACGAATGGTTATTCAATACAATATCTGCCGTTACTATAGCATTTAGTAGTGTTTTTCGCTTTCGCTGGGGTTGTCCTCATTAAAAGATGCGAAAAACTACATTCAATCATGGTGATTATTGTAGCGATTATAATCGCTACAAATGTGAACTCATTTTCTTAAAAAAAAAATCCCTACATATGATCTATACAAGATTCGAACATGCAAGCTCAAGCTTTAATATTAAATGTTTTTCCAATAAGTTATGACATATTTTATGTTCTCTTTGTCAAACAAAATTTTAAAATCTAGTGTAAAAAAGACTTTTCGTATCAATTTTTGGGTTTTAGTGGCGATTGTAAACGATACGCTTTTCCATAATTTTATAAATGTGCAGAAAAAGGTGAATAATTATTATTGTGTTTTTCGTATCGATTTCATATGGGTTTACTATGTCGATTGTAAAATGATACGAATTCCTCTTCTATTTCACAAACATATATGCATATTGTAGCGAATGTACAATCGCAAAATAATTGCTACGAAAAGACAATTTTCTTGTAGTGTATTACTTTGGTTCCCCTGAATTTGGAGTTTTGCCTTTTATGCCCTTGCTTGCTTGGTTTGTTTTCTTGAGCAGCTGCTATAGTTTCCACATGCTTTCTGTACTTTATTACTATTGTAGTAGGTACTCTTTGACTATAGGCTTCTAGGAATGGAGAAGAGGTTTAATTTTTTTTTTTTTTTTTGGGGTTTCCTTAACTCTTAGACCATTCTCAGCAGTGAGGAGAAAAGCCCTCACGAGTAAAAATTAACGTGTAAAAAAAAAACCCGAACACTACATCAGTGAGTGAAAAACCACTCACCGTTGAGTGAAACTGATTTTCCTCAAGAGTTGAGGGTTTTTGAGGATGAACAGTAATTACATGGGGCCTACAGTCACGTGCATCCCGCTTTTTTTTTTTTTTTTTTTTTTTTTTTTCTTTTTCTGAGATTCTTAACCAAACGACGTCGTTTGGCGCTTAAAACAGCCAAAACGACATCGTTTTGGTCATTGAATCAGAAAAAAAGGAATATCTGGCATCTAACGCGCGTCAGCCCAGCCAATTGGGAACTGACACACGTCAGTGCCTTTATGCTCAGCCAATCAGCGAATTCTGTGAATTTTTACAACGGTTATATTTTGTAATCAAAATATAACCGTTATAATTATTTTTTTTAAAAAAAAAATCACCAACGGCCATAAAATTTAATTCTCTATAAATAGACATGCATTTTGATATATTTTGATATACTTTCAAAAAAACCCATAAATTACAGAAATTAACATATTTTCCCAATTTCTTCTTGTTATTATTATTATTATTATAATTATTTCTAAAAAAAATTCCCAGTTATTATTATTAATATTATTATTATTATATTATTTTTGTTATTATTATTATTGTTGTTGTTGTTGTTGTTGTTGTTGTTGTTGTTGTTGTTGTTGTTGTTGTCGTCGTCGTTGTCGTTGTTGTTGTTATTATTATTATTATTATTATTATTTCGGTTAATTTTATTATTGTTATTATTCCTTGATAATAATTGTATTGTGATTTTGTCAAAAAAAGTATTATTATTATTATTGTTATTGTTATTATTATTATTGTTATTATTATTATTATTATTATTATTATTATTATTATTATTATTGTTATTATTGTTATTGTTATTATTATTATTGTTATTATTGTTATTGTTGTTATTATTATTATTATTATTATTGTTATTATTATTATTATTATTATTATTATTATTATTATTATTATTATTATTATTATTATTATTATTATTGCTAATGGATCCTAACAACCCTGATTTTTCTAATTATTTTTCTGATTTGGGTGATGATTTTGTCACTAATCCTCGATTTCAAACTTTCCTTCAAAGAATAGCTCCTCAATATCCACCACAACAAACACATCCTCAATTTCCACAACAACAAACACCTCCAGAATTTTCTATCCTAAACAATACCTATGAACCACATTCACCTCCTGTTTATCAAGGAAGAAATTCTCAACTTAATGATGAACTGGAAGAAACAGTTCCAGATACTCCACAATACCCACCACCTCCTGTAAGAGTGTCTGTCAATCAAAACCAACCAATTGGAAAAGGGAGTCGAATGTGGTCTGTTGCGGAGGATGAAACTCTTATTAGTTTGTATCTGCAATTCAGTGAAGATGCAATTGTTGGTACAAACCAAAAAGCATCTGCACTATGGAGAAAAATTTCAGTGGCTTATGATCAAGCGCAGGCTGAGAAACCTCACATCCTACCACCAAGACCTTTGAGGAGTTTGGAAAGTCGTTGGAGAAGGATGGCAACTGATTTAATACAATGGAGTAGTTGCTATGACGAAGCTGGAAGGGCTACAAGAAGTGGCTACAACGAAGCAGATCGAATTAATAACGCGAGTAAGTTATTCTATGCTTCCTCCAAGCCTAGGCAACATAATTTTAATCATCACCATGGTTGGGAAATTGTTAAAAATGACCCAAAGTGGAGGACAAAACTGAGATGGGCGTTGTCAAGAGAGGACAGATTAGTCGTAGGTGATGCTGTCGAAGATGATAGTAGTGGAAGTGATAAGCGGTGTAGAACCGAAGAGGAAGGTGCTATACCATCCACCGATTTATCTTCTGGAGGTCTTCCTCGACTCGATGGTGTTAAAAAGGCAAAGGCCAAGTGTAATAAGGGAAAAGAAGTGGCTTCTGATGCTTCAACCCTTGGTGAGCAAATGAAGCAAAATAATGCATGTCGGGAAACAGAGGCACAAATACGGTTGAAGAAGTTGGATTTTGACATGGAAATGGAAAGGAGGAAACAAAAACAAGTAGAAATTCAGCAAAAACAAGTTGACATACAAGAGAGAAGGCTCAACTATGAAATGCTACAAGATCTAATTTCAAAGGGTACAGATTTAACTCCCGATGAAGAGGCCTACAAAGATGAATTACGTGCACTGCTATATGGTAGAAGGCACATGTGACTTTGATCAGAAATGTGTTTGCTTATGTTTTATTTAGTTAATTTAATGTACTCGTGTTCATTTTAAGTAATGTTATTTGTAATCTGTGTTATTTAAAGTAATGTAAGATATATTCCTTCTTCTTTAAATTAGTGTAAAATAATGCTCACATGCATTGATAATCTGTACATACTTCAATGGCATCAATAAAGCAGATTCATTGCAATTCATTGTCTGGTCATATCAACTTAATAAGCTTAATAATTCTACACAACTAATGCAATGAAGTGTCACCTCTGCTTAGGCATCAATAATACTGCACAATCAGATGCTAAAATAATGCGGTGAAGTGTCACCTCGGGTCACATGCAATTTCATTTCCACTGTAACTCACACGCAATTCAATGACACTAACATGCAATAATGTCTTTCACTTTTACTATATGTACCTGTGTTACAATAAACGGAAACTATCCCAAACACACCAACTATCAAACCATAACCTAAAAAATGTCTTTCATTTCCTCCACCTCAAGCTCATCTTCTGATGATTTCTCCAAAAATCATGAATTTGATTGCTTAGTTGATGAGTATGTAGCAAATCACCTACCTCATATATTACTTCCCCAAGACCAACCACAACAACCCCCACTTAATAATGAAACTGAAATTTCATCGGAGCCCAAAAGGGATAGGGAAAGAGAAAAAGGGCATGTGCAACTATACAACGATTATTTTGCGAATAATGCAGTGTATAATGATAACCAATTCCGACGTAGATTCCGTATGCAACGGTCATTGTTCTACCGCATTATGAGCAAGGTGGTTGAGGGGGTTCAATTCTTCCTGCAACGTCGAAATGCAGCTGGGAAGCTTGGTTTATCACCATTGCAGAAATGCACCGCTGCAATAAGAATGTTAGCGTATGGCGTAGCCGCAGACGCTGTGGATGAATATTTACATCTCGGCCAAACAACCTCTAGGTAGGCATTGCAACATTTCTGTCAAGGGGTTATTTCACAATTTGAAAGTGAATATCTATGAAAACCTACAGATGAAGATTTAAGGAGAATCCTTCATCAAAATGATCTGCGTGGTTTTCTAGGCATGATTGGTAGTATAGACTGTATGCATTGGGAGTGGAAGAATTTTCCTACTGCTTGGAAAGCACAATATGCTGGTCGTAGCAAGAGTGCAACTCTCATTCTTGAAGCTGTTTGTGATCAAGATCTATGGATTTGGCATGCGTTCTTTGGAATTCCTGGGTCATGTAACGATTTGAATTTCCTATACCATTCACCGGTATTAGATGATGTTTTACAAGGTCGTGCACCACCCATAAATTTTACGGTTAATGGACATCAATATGAGTTGAGCTACTACTTGGCCGATGGGATTTACCCGAGATGGCCAACTTTTATACAAGGTATAACACATCCTCAAGTTAGAAACACTAGTAGAAAAATTGAAAAAGGCACCCCCCTTTTCCCACCGGTTCTTAAAAACCGGTGGGAAAAGTTTTGTTTTATAAAAAAAAAAAAAAAAAAAAAGAGGGAAAAGGGATTTGCCACCGGTTCAACCCAAACCGGTGGGAAAAGTGCATTCCAAACGGTTCGAACCGGTGCCCAAATAAAAAAAAAAACCCGCCTTTCTATATTCGTGAAAAATTCTTCTTCTTCCTTCATGTTATTTCATTCCCCTGCTTTCCCCTTCAATTAACCTTCCTTCTTTCAATTCGTTCACGCATTGTGGGCTTTCTCACCTCCATTGAAGCGCATAGTTGTCCTCCATTGAAGCGCATAGTTGTCCTCCATTGAAGCGCATAGTTGTCCTCCATTGAAGCGCATTGTGGGCTTTCTCACCTCCATTGCCGCGCAGCGCAACTGCTCTCTTTCTCTACATATATACAACTCTCCTCCATTGAAGCGCATTCTGTCGAGCTTTCTGACCTCCATTGAAGCGCATTCCGAGCTTTCTAACTCCATTGTAGCAGCTTCGAGGTAGGTAAATTTTGTGGTCTTCCTAATTTTATCTATTGAATAGCTTCGCAATCTAGGGTTATTCGTTGATTTAGGCCAGGGTATTCCATGTTTCTTTGTGGTTTGCTTTGAGATTTTGGGTGGATTATGTTGTAACAGTTGGGTTGGGTTATTCTTTGAATTTCAGTTTACATTTCTATGTTAATTACATAAATGATACGAGTATTAAAGAGTATATATGCATCCTGGATTGAATGCTTCTCTTGTTGTGCAACATTTATAGGTTGGAGTAGATAATTTGTAATTTGAATAACTTAAAACTTGAGAGATATGGATGATGAGGGAACAAGTATAACATTCCAAAGCATTCCTTTGTCTCCTGGTTGGCTGTTATGGAGAGGCTTCGACCTAGAGTTATGATGCAGAAGTTTGGTGTGTGTGATGAGAATACTTGTTTGTTATGTGGTTCTGCTACCGAAACCCATGCCCATCTGTTTTTTGATTGCTCTTACAGCAGAGGGTGTCTGATTATAGTGAGTAATTGGATTAAGGTAAAGGAGAGACACTTTAATATCTCTAGAACGTGGCAGCACTGGAAGAGAAGTATAAGAGATGAAGTGAAGCAGAAGGTTAGGCTAGCTGTCTTGACTGCTAGTGTCTATCATATTTGGGCTGCCAGAAATAAGGCTTACTGGGATAAGGCTGTGATTCACCCTGATAAGCTCTGTCACAGAATTTGTAGTGATGTTGTTGTGAGATGTCAACAGCTTATTAATTGTAAGTGGAGGAGAGCTCATTGTAAATGGCTATTCCAGCTCAAAAGCTGTTTGCCTCCTTAGGTTTCTGTTTTTGGTAGGTTAGGTTATTTGCACTAGTAGAAAAAATGAAAACCACACCCCCCTTTTCGCAGCGGTTATTTAAAACCGGTAGGAAAATAAATGGGCGGGATTCTGAAAATTACTTTTCCCACCGGTTCCTTATAAACCGGTGCGAAATGTTTGTTTTCCCACCAGTTTGAACCGGTGCCAAAATATTTTAATTACTTCAATTCGCGAAACATTTCTTCTTCCTTCAATTCATTCCCCTGCTTTTCCACATTGAGTTCTTCGTTCCTTCTCTCGTTCTCGCCTAGCTCACCATTGCTGTCCTTCATTGAAGCGCACTCTGAGCTTTCTCACCTCCATTGCCGAATAAGGCCTATATCACTACCTGTATGCCCATTTTCTATATTTTTAATCAAATTACCTCATTCTTCCTCTTAACATGTCATTCTTACCTAGTTAGAGGCAGCTAAGGCTTGAAATCACATTAAAAGAGCATTTGAGTGGTTTTTGGACGCAATTTCATTCAAAATGGCCCGAATAAGGCCTATATCACTACTTGTATGCCTATTTTCTATATTTTTAATCAAACTACCTCATTCTTCCTCTTAACATGTCATTCTTACCTAGTTAGAGGCAGCTAAGGCTTGAAATCTCATTAAAAGAGCATTTGAGTGGTTTTTGGACGCAATTTCATTCAAAATGGCCCGAATAAGGCTTGTATCATTACTTGTATGCCTATTTTCTATATTTTGAATCAAATTACCTCATTCTTCCTTTAAACATGTCATTATTGCCTATTTAGAGGCAGCTAAGGCTTGAAATTACATTAAAAGAGCATTTGAAGTGTTTTAAGACGCAATTTCATTCAAAATGGCCTGAATAAGGCCTATATCACTACTTTTATGCCTATTTTCTATATTTTTAATAAAATTACCTCATTCTTCCTTTAAACATGTCATTATTACCTATTTAGAGGCAGATAAGGCTTGAAATTACATTGAAAGAGCATTTGAAGTGTTTTAAGACACAATTTCATTCAAAATGGCCCGAATAAGACCTATATCACTACTTGTATGCCTATTTTCTATATTTTTAATCAAATTACCTCATTCTTCCTCTTAACATGTCATTCTTACCTAGTTAGAGGCAGCTAAGGCTTGAAATCTCATTAAAAGAGCATTTGAGTGGTTTTTGGACGCAATTTCATTCAAAATGGCCCGAATAAGGCCTATATCACTACTTGTATGCCTATTTTCTATATTTTGAATCAAATTACCTCATTATTCCTTTAAACATGTCATTATTACCTATTTAGAGGCAGCTAAGGCTTGAAATTACATTAAAAGAGCATTTGAAGTGTTTTAAGACGCAATTTCATTCAAAATGGCCCGAATAAGGCCTATATCACTACTTTTATGCCTATTTTCTATATTTTTAATCAAATTACCTCATTCTTCCTCTTAACATGTCATTCTTACCTAGTTAGAGGCAGCTAAGACTTGAAATCTCATTAACAGAGCATTTGACTGGTTTTTGGACTTAATTTCATTTAAAATGGCCTGAATAAGGCCTATATCACTACTTGTATGCCTATTTTCTACACTTCTTATCAAATCAACTCATTCATTCTTTTAACATGTCATTATTACTTAGTTCGTGGTTGGGTCACAAAGACTGTTGTGAAAAAACCAAAGAAGAAGAAAGGCAATGATGATGAAGTCATCAGTGAAGATCTACTCCCATGGCAAAAATGGCCAAACATATCAAAGGATGATTGGGAAGCTTTTGTTATTCAACAAAGTACAAAGGAAGCAATTGTAAGTTTAAGTAAATTTAATTACAATTGTATAATATATTATCTCTTTTTGAAGTAATAATAATAACAATTCTAATTACGTAGGAACTGAGGGAGAAAAATTCCAAAAATGCAAAGATGAAGCAATACACCCAACGTATGGGGTGTAGGACATTTGGTGAATGGAGGGAAACGTGGGTCAACGAAGGAGCATACCCCACTTCGCTACTAGGGTCGTCCGAAGGACCCTCTTCTTCCACGATCACTACGCTGGTGAGTCATGCCGGTGATTTCTTCTGTTCACTGCATGCGCGTGACAAGGAGACCGGAAAATGGGCCATCAAGGCTTCGGAAACCAAAGAAATGGCTGATAAGCTCGTAAGCAACTACGAACTTGATGAGAACTCTATGAATATTTTGCATAAATATCACTTATGGATGCTATTGGTTTCTTTTTTTTTTTTTTTTTTTTTTTTTTTTTTGCTACAGATTGAACACACTGAAGAACTGGTTGAAGGCAAGCTCGTCCCAAGTGTAGAAAAAGACCCTTTCACCTTGTCTTTGGGAAAGCCCTACCATCCAGGACGGGTAGTAGGTGCAGGAGGGTCATTGCTGGGGTGGGAAAAGGTGATGGGTCCAGAGTATACCAAATCAGGAAGATCCCGAGCAAGTGTGAACTCACCTCATGACTTGGTTTCCACGGTGGCATCGATTAAGGAACAAGTCCGCAACGAGCTCGTAAGTGAATTTAACGCTTGGGCAAAGCAAATGAACCTACCGAGCTTGCCTTTCCCCTCGAATACACCCGTCGACTCATGTAGTCACCCAAAAGGACAAGGGGAAGATGATGTACATGGAGACGATGATGCAAATGAGGTAGTTTTAAAACTTTTAGTTTTGGCATATTGAGTTATGTAGGATCTAAGGTGGCAGTCATTAATTTCTTGTTGCAGGGTGGTACGCCTACACACGCGGACTCGAGGGAGCTCGATAATCCAGCACCTCATCATTTTCCAGATTTACAGGTGATTTTGTTTAGTTCTATCTTAGTGAATATGGGCAAATTATCAATCTTAGTGAATATGGGCACATTATCAATTGTGTAGGAAACGACCCCTTGTGATATGTTTGGTTCTAATAACTGATCTTTCAAAATGGTGTAGGAAGAGACCCGTTGTGCACTTCTACACCCGGACGAATCTGGAGCTTTGCATGTGGTTGCATATGGTAGTGCACAACCGGCCGAACAAGGTACGGTCCATTTGCGACCACTTAGGCCACAACATTGCTCGGTTGGGATCAATTCTGTTATTACCGGGTTCGAGGACATCCTAATACCGGTGCCCATAGAGGAGGAGGAGTTTACTACACTTTGGGCGGCAAAAGGTAGTTTTGTGCAGTGGCCGTGTGCTTGGGTAAGGTTGATGAACCAGGTAATTAAGATTTTGGGTTAGTTAGGTACTTTATGCCCGGTTGTTTTCACAAGAGTTAGATGGATTTGTCTTTTCTAACCAATTGCGTGATTTGTTGTATTAGATTTCGCAAAAAAGACAAACTTCAAAGAGGAGGGTGGAACAACCAATAAGCGTTGATCAACCGGTTCCAAAGAAGAGGAGTGAACAAAGGTCGGAGAGTGAAAAAGGGTCGAAGAAGAACTCTTCGAGAGGTTCAGCTTTGCAAGCTACTCCACTTGTTGCTGACACGATCCTTCAAACGCTGTCTTAGGATTTAACATTTCTACACAACCGTGTTAGCTTGTTGCCTAGTGACACTCCCATTCAAGTTCCACTACCTAAGGCAATGTTCCACTTTGATGAGGATGCAGTTGCATGGCTTAGCAAAGAAGATGTGAAAGAATTTCTAAGTGGTTCAATGCTTAACATCTCCCTCGTTCAAACATTCATGAGGTAATTTAATGCCAGACACTATTATGTTATTCAGATGCTCGGTGATTGCTTGTCATTTAATTTCCCATTAACATTTTGCTACCATGCATGTAGAGCACTACAGGAGCACTTACTTGAGATTGATTCTCCGTGTCAAGTAGGGTGGTTGTGCCCCGAGCAAATCTCCACTACTAGAATCTTAGGCAACTACCCTGACGTGTTGTACTATGTTGAACGGGGTATCAAGGAATCATTGCGTGCGGGTGACAAGTTCATATTCGCCCCATGTTTTGAGGAGTACGTTTGACCATGTCAAATTCATTTGTTTCCCCTAATTATATGTTGTACACGGCTAATTGTTGCCTTGTTTGTGTATTGTCTATTTCTGTAGTGCACATTGGACCCTGCTGGTGATTTGTGTTCCCAGTAACACCATCTTCCTTTTTAATTCAGCTCGATTGCCTCATCCGAAAAAGCTCCTTGTGAAGTCTATACTGCAAAAGTAAATATAGCTATCTAGTGTTGATTATCCTTACGTAACTCATTTATTATATTAGTCATACTAATCAAGTTTGAACTTACTTTTCTATAGTGCTATGAAGAAGATAAATTTCCGAGCTCCTCAAGGCCCTACATGGAAATCACCGATGGTAATGCTACATGATTTTGTGATTTTTATAATAAACAATGCGTAAGATATTGCTAATTTGTTTTGCATGTTTGATTCATTTACTGTGTTCCTATGCTAGTGCGCACAACAAGGTAACAGAGTTGATTGCGGACTATACGTGA